CACGAACAGGCTTACAAACGCAATGCGTTCAGTTAAACCTGCTTTCACTCGACCTCAATCAACTGATGTTTTCGTTCAACCTGACTTACGATATAGTACACACGTTTTCGTTCGTCGAGACTCGCATCGACGACCATTCGAATCAGCATACGAAGGACCCTTCAAAGTTCTTCAACGTGAATCTAAGTACTATATAATTGATAAGAACAGAACCAACGATAGCATCAGCATCGATCGCCTAAAAGCAGCGTATTTAGAGGGAAATCCTATCTACGTGGATTTTCCTTCGGTACAATCGAACGACACGACTCCGACACTTATAATACCTCATCCGACAACCAACACACACGATGATACTTCGACAGTATCCGAAAATAAACTTAAAACGACGCGTTCTGGAAGAAGGGTGAGATTTCCAGAACATTTAAACGACCATTGCATGTAAGGCACTTCTCGACATTTTATATTATTTTTTAAAAAAAAAACAATTTTAATATGCTTATATATTTTTATTTCTATTTAAAAAAAAACAAAAAAAACATTTTTTTAACGCTATTACGTGTTCATGAGTTTTTTTTCCTTTTTTTTCCGCCGACATTGTGTTTTTACGCACATACGAGTGTATTTCGACATGCACCTACATTTTCTTTTTCCTTTTCCAGAACGGCTGGAAAAGAACGATGACGTTTATGAGGATCCGAAATTTTCGTTGTACCTTTTTCTTTTTTTACTATGTTGTACCTCCGTCCCATATAGTAAGGAAAGACGACCAGACGCTGCTAAATTTAGTAAGCTATCAGAAGAGTGTTTACCAACGACAAACTCGTTGGGTTTAAACTTCTGGCTGGCCACGTCTTAGGGTCGTCACTGCCCCACTAGGGGGGGGATTGATCTGTAGCGGTAAATAAATCCCCAAAATAAATAGCTCTGTGAGTTTTCGACATTGGATGCTGACCATATGTTTTAGTGGACTCATCTAGCTGAAGGCGCTCGGTCAGGCATCCGCACCAGATCACGTTTGGTAACGCCGTGCTCAACATCAACCGCAATCGCTAGCCAGATTAGATCAGAGAATTCCGATATATTGGTCATCGCCAAATATACTCTTCCGATCTCCTCGACTCTGTCTTTTGATTTCTCTGGGTGGGAACGAAATATATTAGGTGTTACTGGTAGAAGCGTTGTCAAACACTGAACACCTGTGACACCATCAACGTGTACCCAAATGTAGTTTCGTATGGATGTTTGACCGATTTCCTACAGCTTAGAATGTGTCCGGCAAGACTAATAAGGTCAGCACCATTGTCGAAAACTTATAAAAATATGTATTTTTGATATCTATTTGTCACTAAGGTTGTTTATGTTTTTTCGAAATACCCTCCTCTTTGTCTATTTTTACAATCGAGTGAAATAGAAGTTAATGGTATTCCTGAAGAAAACGGGTTCATTGACTCTTGTTTCTTAAAGTAATACCGTGTTTCAAAATCTTCTTGAATCCCTTGTCAAGATGTATCTTGATGAAACAGAATCTGGCCAAACTGATAACAAAAGCTTTCATACGCTGTACAGAAAGATAAATGAAGAAAATAAGACGGTATGACTTCTCAAAATCTTTTGACAGGGTCAACCATATATGTCTTGCCAGTAGGCTCAAACGATTAGGTACCAAATCACCTCTAAATGATTGGCTAAATCCATAATTGAAAAATCGGCATTTTAAAGTCAGGGTTAACTTCGCTTTATCTCAGACTATGAAATGTCCTAGTGGGGTTCCCTAGGGTCCAGTACTACGACCTCTTCTTCTCTTGATTTATATACACGATCTTCATTACAAGTATCGTTTGACCTATTACTTTTTGCTGATGATGTGAAACTCTGGGGAGAGATATGCAACCGAGAGAATGTACTGGCACTTCAGGAGGTATGACAACGGACTTACCTTTAACACTTTAGAGTGTAGAGTAGTCCACCTGAGACATGTTGCAGACTACAGTTACAACTTAGGCAACTCCTCTCTAGAAATACTTAAAGTTGAAAGAGATTTAGGAGTACTGGTACCCTATGATCTGAAGTTTTACGCAAACTGGCAAAAATACCTTTCGAGCAAACCTTGCACTGGTAACATTGAGGCGCATTTTTGGCCAGTTTGACGGAAGAACTTTCCACATAATCTTCAACAGTTTTATTCGTCCCCAGTTAGAGTACGGAAACGTAGTATTGCCTGCCTCACTCCAAAAGAATAAGGACACTCTGGAGCGTATCCAACGGCGAGCTACGAAGTCAGTTCGGAGACTCAAATTCAAGCCTTATGAAGAGCGCCTCCAGTCACTAAATCTTCACCCATTAGAGTACAGACGTCTTAGATGTGGCCTTACAGCATCCTTAACACTTCTGGACATCCTCTTAAACACCTACTTAAGTTTAGCTGCAACACAAACCTAAGAGGTAACACTCAGAAACTGGAGACACAACGTCGAAGAACGGACTGTAGACACAACTTCTACTCCTAGAAAGTTGTCTAGTGCTAGAATTCGCTGCCAGCTCAGCTAGTTCAAGGGACTTCCTAGAAGTCCCTTAAGAGGAAACTTGACCTATTCTTCAGGACTAAGGATAGTGTCTTACCATGATTTACCAATTTCTTTCTTTTCTCTATTATCGTTAATATACCTAGGTTCCTGTCTGGATGTGTTGGTGATACACTGCTACTAGACCCGGAAGACGGTTAAGCGAAAGCTTCTTCTATTCTGTCCATAACCATTTGAACCATTTGATGGTTTAAACGACTATCTACTGTCCTTAAGTTTCTTCTCACCCCAACAGCATGATTTCAGGAAGGGTTACTCTTGTATAACCAACCTGCTGACTGCGGTGGACAGATGGACAAGCATCCTCGATCGCAAAGGAAAGGTTGATATCATTTACCTTGATTTCTCAAAAGCTTTTGATAAGGTTAACCACTTGTGTCTTACCAATAAGCTCAAACGACTAGGTATCAAACCACCTCTAATCGATTGGCTTACTTCATACCTAAAAAATCGACACTTTAAGGTTAGGGTTAATTTCACTTTATCTCAGGCTATGGAATGTCCTCGTGGGGTCCCCCAGGGCTCAGTACTAGGGCCTCTTCTCTTCTTGATCTACATAAATGATCTTCCTCAACAGGTAACGTCAGACTTATTACTTTTTGCCGACGACGTGAAACTTTGGAGAGAGATACGCAACCAAGACGATATACAGGCACTTCAGGAGGATCTGACTCGACTTCAAAGCTGGGCAGACGATAACGGACTTACCTTTAACACTTTAAAGTGTAAAGTAGTCCATCTGTGACATATCGCAAACTACAGTTACAACTTAGGAAACTCCTCTCTAGTAGTATCCCAAGTCGAAAATGATTTAGGAGTCCTGGTGCTCCATGATTTAAAGTCTTACGCTAACTGTGACAAAAATGCCTTCCGAGCAAACCTTGCACTGGTAACGTTGAAGCGCATTTTTGGACAGTTTGACGGACGAACTTTCCATACAACCTTCAATAGTTTCATCCGTCCCCATTTAGAGTACGGAAACATAGTACTTCCCCTCACTCCAAAAGGACAAGGTCACTTTCGAGCGTATCCAACGGTGAGCCACGAAATCAGTTTGAGGACTCAAATCTAAACCTTACGAAGAACGCCTCCATTCACTAGACCTACACCCATTAGAGTATAGGCGTCTTAGAGGTGATTTATTAATGGCTTATAGTATTCTTAACACTTCTGGACATCCTCTTAAACACCTACTTAAGCTTAGTTCGAATAATAACCTAAGGGGTAACACCCAGAAACTGGAAACACAACATAGCAAGACGGAATGTAGACACAACTTCTACTCTTTAAGAGTTGTCAAAATCTGGAATTCGCTGCCGGCCGAGCTAGTCCAAGCGACTTCTCAGGAGTCCTTCAAGAGGCAACTTGACCTATTCTTAAGGACCAAGGACAGCATCACACTATGATTTACCAATTTCTTTTCCTGTTTTATTGTTACATACCTAGGTTCCTGCCTGGAGGATTTGGTGATCCCCTGCTACTAGACACGGAAGCCTGTTAAGCGAAAGCTTCTTCTATTCCGTCCACAACCATTTGAACCTTTTGGCGGGAAGAGTGGGCTTACATCATAGTTTCTTCTCAGCTGGGGACTGAGTGTAATTTCATGAGTCGGCTCCTTTTGCTTTTAAATTTGTATTTAACGGGTTAAAAATAATCTAGTCAGCTTACACTTACAAAGATTGTTCCAACCACTCAGATTCTTGACACGATAACTTGTGATCTACTTTTATAGGTTAATAAACCTATCATTATTACCCAGGACTAAAGATTTCAAGATTAATGCCGTATATCTGATGCCTAGTGCGTCAATTAGTTTGGTTTTAGTTTTCATATGCATTTCTGCCACGTAGTGCTTTGTAAGATTGGATGTACATCCTATTGTGTGGTGAGATACTTAGTAGTGTTTCGTGATATATGTAGTCATCTGTAAAAACTTGTTGACCCAGTATTATTTTGGCTTGTCTTTTTGTATTCGACAAGTAAATAGGGAGTGTAATAACATTGGTTACATGAATATCCAAATCAATGTGTTTCATAGAACCCGTATTACATTCAGATTCTTGCTGTATATGATTATATTGATCTAGGTGGTCCTTTGAGAGCCACTTTGGTTCAGCAAGGTTGTAGAGATTTATCGGAGAAGGGATTCCATCAGTTTTAGTAGGATATCACAGTTTGTGCGATTCTCTTAACTCATCTGTTATAACTGCACTCCTTTGTCTTGTCCAATTAGTGGTCAATACAAACTTTTATCATGTTCTGGATTTCATCTTTGTGAGTTACTATTATCAGAATTACTCTTTACATCCCTTGTAGGTTTTCTCTCACTTCCAGTCTATCTTCAGACCAGCAATACGCTATCTTCAATCTGTTAGCATACTCAGAGCTTGCAAACAGCATATACTTTATCGTGATATGGACTTCTATATCAATGTACCTCCTCCCGTGCATTTTCTTGATGTTACTGAAGCGTTCAAATCACTTAGCAATGTGGAAAAGGATTATGTTTTCAGCTGCACACAAGCGTCTTGGATTGGAGGTCTCATAGGATTAATTCAAACATCTCCTGAGTCTGCTGGAATATTTTTGTTTGTCAGTCGCTTTTTCCATTTGGAGAACGTACATTCCTTTGTTGAAAAAGCGACAAAAAATAATTTTTCCGATGAGGAAATAACCCACATTTTATCTTATTTCGCCTCAGTGCTGGGTAATTTCGGGAATTACCTGTCTTTTGGGGACACCAAGTTCATCCCAGCTATCAATGTCGACAGGGTAACAGAATTTTTATCGTTGAGCAGTGAATTTTCTAATTCAGAAACTGGTCTTAAAGCTTTATGGAAAGAAATAGCTCCAGCCATCTATTCGTTAAGTCCTCGCCGTTTACGCCTTGGTTTTAGTCCCACTGAAATAACGTCTTATTACTCTGAAGACTGTATTCGAAGTGATGCTGAACTAGTTCAAAAATATCTGGAAAACGTTAAAATTGAAGCGTATAATACCCGACTTTTTAAGAGTAGTAACTCCAACTCCAAAGTTTATTCGATTCGGTTTGCGTCGGCTGAGAAGAAAGTTCAACCTGTGCATTTTGATGCCCTTCCTTCGGGAACTTCTTTGCAGCTCGAGTATGGTGACTACTGCGAACTTATGGAGTTACTGGTTGACTGCTCTTTAGATGCCAAAGCACACTCTCTTAACAAAATCGAATCAGAAATGTGGGATCATTATGCTCAGAGCTTTTATACTGGGTCCTTAGACTCTCACAAAGATGCTTCTAGACTATGGGTCAAGGACAAATGCCCTGTGGTTGAAAATTACATTGGCTTTATTGAAACTTATCGTGATCCTTTAGGTGTACGTGCAGAGTTCGAGTCATTTGTCGCAGTTGTGAATCGATCAATGTCATCTAAATTTCAGCGGCTAGTAGATAATGCTGTTGACTTGTTATCTAATTTGCCATGGCCTTCTACTTACGAAAAAGACAGGTTCTTACAACCAGACTTTACAAGTTTGGACGTAGTAACGTTTGCAACCTCAGGAATCCCTGTTGGAATTAACATTCCTAACTATGATGATGTGCGCCAAGTTGATGGATTTAAAAATGTATCCTTGGGGAATGTACTCAGTGCTCGCTTCAAGGTAAAGTCTGTTTGTATAACCTATTTTTCGTATTAGGACCCTAAATCAGAATTTCTCCGAGAGGAAGACAAGAAGTTGTATGTGGATCATGCGGAGAGTTCTTTCGAACTTCAAGTTGGACTTCATGAATTGTTAGGCCATGGTTCTGGGAAGCTCTTTCAACGTAGTGACGATGGAATACTGAATTTTGACACGAATTCTACGAAAGATATCATAAGTGGAGGTCCCATACGTAGTTGGTATGTCGGTTACTTTCACTTTCCTATGGTTACTATTATTGCTACCTTCCCTGTTTTCTTATATATACCAAGTAACAAGTGGTATATAATTCTAGCCGTTAGTGTAAACGTAGATCTATCCGCTCGAGATATTTGCTATAGATATCCAATTAACTAGTGTCAAAAAATTGTAGCACATTAAACGTGAGCATATGCAGGTAGTTATAACAATTTAAGATGACAAGAAAGTACTTCTGTCTAAGTTGCTGCGATTCACATCAGTGACAAGAAATCAACGAAATAGTAATATCAACGTTAGTGGAAAAGTAAACTGTGAATATGGTACAAAAATGACAGTGGCAAATTAGTAATGTTATGTTACTACTTTTAGCCTTTCCTTAACCGGCTTGTATTTTCATCGTAATATAGGTAGATGGAGATAAGCATATTCTGAAGTATGGACAATAAGGAAGTGTCATCCACTTGTATGTCTATTCGCACTCGAACTCACAAAACTTTTGTTCCCTTTTTATTTTTATCGTTAACACCAGTCAGTCGCGGCGTAGAGCCCCCCAAATGCCCTGGTACGGCTGATGGTGGGGAGGGTTCGCTTTCTCTCTCGAAATGCTCTCACATGGCTGCGCTCATACAGCCACTGCCGGGAAAGTCCTACTCACTGCCTTCTCGCGGTACTAGTGTTGCTTATGAAGTTGAGAGGACGGAAAACGAATGTCCCGCGCTTTAACTGGGCCGGTGGATATGGAGAGTTCACCTTGGGGATTTGGAAAATCCTGGTGCATATGGGCTCCATGATTCTAAGAGAACAAAAGGCGTATAAACCGATTGTTGATCACCGGCTACCACGTGATTGCATCTCCTGACGTTGCCCCACTGCCTTGTGGATCAGACCTTCAGGTTGAAGGCTCTGTGTTTGACCTCCTAACAAAACCACCTTCGATCTGGGTACCCGGGCAGTATAACATCCCACACACAAATCATGTGATTTGTACGGCACATGTATTTGGTCCACCTTTGTACCAATATTTATATTCATATAAATAAAATAAGAACCTGATACATAAGTACACTGGTTCAAGTTGTCACGCTTCAGCAAAGCCACATGAAATTGTTATGTCAAATTCCAGAGTAGTAGAGGTAGTAACTGTATTAGTGGTATTAGAAAATATTAAGCATCGAAAATACGACTCAAAATAATGTAAATTAGTGAAATAAATAAAAATTATGCGGAATTCAGAAGCTAAGAATTTGGGGAAAGATATTGTACGGATGCATCTGTGCTATTGGAAACGACGTCTAGCCATTTTATTCGGTCTCTAACCAACGAATACGATTACTACGTGGACCCCGATCGTGTATTGTACACCCACTAATTTGGCTCAGTCCGATAATCAATTATTATAGACTGATGCCGTGTTTTTCTTTGACCGCTCCTTTGTTTTCTTTCAGCCTACTTCACCGGATAACATCTCCCGTCGAGTTAGGCTGTAATTGGAGATACGTGAAACATGTCACAAGCACCTCAGTTGATGCAGATATATTGCCTCATTAGTCAACCTATCATTTTTACCTAGTACACTTGGTCATTACAAGGCCAGAACACAGGATTTTGTGTTTATGTGTGCGCAACCATGATCTAGGGACTTGACTTCCATTCATTGCATCCACGTTTGTCCATTTTGATCTCAGCAGCTGAGTAGTATCACCAAACCTCGGTGCAACAGGTAAATCTGTGAGGTCATTAAGGCACTAATATTATATCGGTCGTTGATTGTGGGAAACAGCCGCCGACTTCTTGGTTAGACCTGCCACTAATGGAAATGTAAATAATCTCATGGATCGATTTTGCAGCGTATACGCTTAAATACTTCCTTGTGATAACTCATACGGCTCAGTTCGTTTAAACTAAAATAGGAAAGCCTCTATCTGCTTATGAAAGCAGCGTTAGTCAATTCCTGGCTTATTATTAAGATAATAGAATAAGTAGATAACTAAAATGCATTCGAGTAACCGGTTCGTGTCAAATTAGTGTCCTTATCGGTCGTTCCCAATGTACATTCTTTGTTATTTCATTTTTGACTTATTGAAAGTTTTCAATGGATTGTAGCGTAAACACATTCTCTGTCGTTTTAGTTTCCGTCGTAATCTACTCAGAACAAATACATTGCAGTATCTGTGCATTATTCCTAACTTTTGCCGTAACTGTAAAGTTAACGCTCACAAGATTATGTGTAGGAGTATACACAGTAAAAAAACAGTATTCTGAATAGTTTGATTTACGATTATAGGTGAAACTAATTAGTAGATCTTGTTATGCGTAGTCAAGATACAGGATTCGATCTCGACAGATTCATATAGTAGGAATATTATGTACTAACTGTCTTTTTACATTTAAACTAACAGTTTAAGTAGGGGTCTTTACTTTCAATTTGGAATTTGTTACGAACTAATTATAATTGGTATTTATGATCACCCAATGTTAGCACTATTCAGGTCGATATTAATGTCATATTTTCATACGTATCCGTTCGGAGAGCCAGCCTGATTATTAGTGAATATGTGTCATCCTTGTGAAAGTGAAGGAAATTACGTGTCGATCATAAAATAGTGTGATTATAGCAATTTTTCTTGACTTATAACTTCGTATTGGGTACGAACAGTCAACCATATACATATTTTTTTGGTAAAATTCCTGACGATGACTTTCATCAATGGTATTTTCTTTAACTCTTAAGGTATGAACCAGGCGAAACATACGACAGCAAATTTTCGAGTTTGTCTTCGGCAATTGAAGAATGTCGAGCTGAATGTGTTGGAATTTATCTATGCAATTTACCACTTGTCTTGGAACAGTTTAATCTTAATACTAATTGCTCTACAGACAGTGTCCCAGATGTTGTCTACGTTAATTGGTTGTCCATGGTTCGTTCAGGTGTAACTTCTATGGAATTCTATTCACCTGCAGAAAACGCTGGCGATATTGGTTCATGGCGTCAGGCACATTGCTGTGCTCGTTATGTGATTTTGCGGGTAAGTGTTTTCAGAACGTTTTGGAAGTTACACTGAACTTCCACTTCGTGAAACTTCCTGTTTAGTAAAATACGCCACCACGTTTCTGTTTTCTTGAGCCTGTATTTTCGTTGGTTGGTCTAGATGTAAGCTCAAATAAAACACTTAATACATTTTCCCTCTGGTCATCATGCTGTCAAATGATTAATAATGAGAGAATACTATGCTTTCTGTGAGTTAAATCTCTCAACTCAATTTTTATCATGATGGTTATTCAACTAGGTGTATCTTTTTATAACCCATAGTACTTCCTGCTTTCTGTCTTCGTATTATTGACATTCTTCTAAGTTATACTAGCTGAACGATAAAACTCCATTTTCTGTAAAATTACGTTTATCTTCTTTTTCTTAAGCTTTTAATGCAATATAGTTTTGCTACGTTAATGTTTTTATCAATATCATTACTTTTATCGCGTTATATGTGTGAATTTAAGCAAATAATTGATTGATTCGTGAATTCTTATCAGAGGAAGCATTTTAGCATCCGATTACTTGTGCCAATCTTTGAAAATCGTAGTGTCTGGTGGTGTGGGTAGCTAGCATCTCTATAATTTCTCTCATTTCTTCATTATCACTAAATGTTACGTATATTACTCCTGACTGTTATGTCAATTTTAGATATACTGTTTATTCTTCACTAGGTTTTAATTGAAGCTGACAATTCGCTAGTACGTGTAGACGAAATAGTTGGTGATGATGGTGCACCTGATTTAACTATTTTCTTAGATCGCCAAAAGCTTTTGACAGTGGGTCGTCCGGCAATTGGCGAATTTTTACGAAAAATTCAGGTGAGACCTTTTCATTTCATGTTTTTATGGATTCTTATGAGTAGACATGTATTGTGCATGTGCATATACTGGTACATTACTACTGTGCCATTCTGGAGACCTCAAGAGTTGATACAAATAAGATTAATGAATTATATGTCGTGGCATGACATCAGTTTATAATACCACTGACTTTTGGTCCAAGGTTTCTAAGAAAGCTTCTTGAATGCAATTATTGTTATTCATTGTCAAATTTTATTATTTTAACACATAGATATTGGTACAAGGAGGCACCAAATACATATGCGCCACACAAATGTCATTCGATATGTGTGAAGGCTGTGATACTGCCCGGGTGCCCAAACCCAAGCAGGTGGTTTTCTTAGGGGGCCACTCCCCGAGCCTTCGACCTGAAGGTCTGATCCACAAGGCAGTGGAACATCGTAAGGAGATGCAGTCCCATGGAAGCCGGTGACCAACAATTGGTTCATACGCCATTTGTTCCCGCAGGATACTGGAGCCCATGTGCACCATTGGTTCGGGATCCGGTTGAAGCGCCAGACATTCGGTTTTCGTCCTCTCATTTTCGTAAACAACACCCCCGCCACGAGAAGGCAGTGAGTAGGACTTCCCTGGCAGAGGTTATATACGCGTGGCCATGTGAGAGCATTTCGAGAGGGAGAGCGGACTCTCCCCACTCTTGGCCGTACCAGGGCATTTGGGGGCCTAGTAGTATTGCACCTCACTAATCCATCATCTAGGCACGTTTCTCACAACAATACAAACCACTAACTGTGCAACCATTTAGTGAACAATTCACTCCAGTGCCAATTATTTACCTGGATTTCAGGATTAGACCACTTTAATATTGCAAGTGTTATGACTTAAGATAAGTCAAAGTGGCCCAAATGCAATCATCTCTGGTTTCTAAAATCCTAAATTGTTTATTACTTCATATATTCCACTCATCCTTCGAGCCTCTTCTTTCGTTCTCGACAAGCGTTATCATTATTTTGTTTATCAGTATTTGATTTTCTTGGTTTTCTGATTATGCTGATAAAATGTATGGCAACGTGGATGAGTGCATTCATGCTAGATGCTACTCTATGTATGGTTGCTTTCATATGTTGACTTTGAAAGTCTGGATAAATAGCAAATTCGAACAACGTGATATGACAACTTGGCACAAATCGTTTATGTGCCAGACTATCTCGATGATGAATGAGTAGCTGACGAACTATTTCTTGGTAGTATAATTATTTTCTAAAGTTTCACTCACTGAATGCTTTCTCTCAATTCTTTTGTTTCAGTATTATAAAAGTACAGCCAATGCTAAAGATGGTTGCGCCTTCTTCCAGCATTATTGTCAATTGCTACCAGAACATATTAAATTGCGCCAAATTGTGATTAATCGCAAAAAACCTCGACCTATTTTCGTTCAACCTGGACTCCGTAAAACCCCTCACGGTGTTGAACTAATATCATATCCTACAACTTATGCCGGTGTAATACAATCATTCGTGGATCGTTATGGTGATTTGCCTCTTGGGCAGAAAGCTCTTGATGCGCTAGAAACAATTTGGCGCCGTGAACTTCCGTATTTCAAAAACATACCACTTTAAGTGACTTGTCACAAATTGTTATTTTCAATTAATTTTGGTTAATATATTGTATGTTTATTGTCTCCACGTGGATAGATGAATATTGTTTTCATTTCTTTTTGCTTGGTTATAGTATTAGTGGTTGTGTGATGGTTTAATAGCTCCAAGTTATGGTAAATATGTTGTGTTATAATGTCCAAATCTCTCTATTTCAATTATTAAATCACAGGTTCAAAGTTGCTTTACGTATGTGGTATTACTAACCCATGTATAGGAACCGGCTTAAAATTATGCTCCTAAACCTGTTCTCTTTAGTTAATAGAATAGCTCACAAATGACGGTTATAGTTTTCGAACTTTTCTTCGTAATGTAGATCTTCACCCCACTTCTGTTGACATTGCAGTAAAAGTTACAAGCCTGTTGTTTCAACTGAAATGAAAATCGTTAATTGAGGCTAGAGTGAAGCTCATGTTCAACAGTAAATTCTGTTCAGCTGAGTGATGTGCGATCTAAAACTCGCTTAGTAAGCACTTACGATTTTCTCAATAAAAGAACACTTTGATGCTTTCCTGTTGCTAATAACGATAAAATATACTGACTGATCTTTGGTGGGCAATTTCACCCGTAATTCTTTCAAGTGAAATTAGAAAGTGTTTGTTTAAGCCTCAATATGCTGATTCTTCAAATTCGAAGCAATGTTATTTTCACCTGTTTCTAGTCTCATAGAAATACCTTGGTCACTTAGCTTGCGTGACTTCTGTTTTATTCTTACATTGTTGGGTTCCATTTAATATTAAACATCAGAGATGTTTTCTTTTATATCGAATTATTGGTGTGAGTAGTAGATCCCGAAGTTAAGATTTGTGCTTTTATCAGATCTTCGTGGGGTTGCACATGGTTAATTCCGAGTTACATATAAATTGTATTGTACCATGTCAAGGGCATATAGGTTATTCTAGCTTCCGGACAGACCAGTTTACTTACTTGCGCCTGTTACTCCCCAATGGCCACCAACCAGCTTTCTCCAACCCAATCTGTCCTGGACCTTTCTTTCTATCTCTATCCAATTATTGTTCATTCGTCTCATGTTTGTCTCCGTTTCTCGGTGTAATGTGTTCTTTGATCTTCCTCTTCCCCTTTGGCCCTTATGATTCCAAGTGAGGGCTTGTCTTGTGACGCAGTTGGATGCTCTCAATGTAGGTTCTATACACTCCCAGCGTTTCTTCCACTGGAATCTGGTTTGTTCTCTCCCACAGTAGGTTATTGCTAATAGTGTCTGGCCAACGGATTCTAACTATTTTGCACAGGCAACTGTTAATAAACGCTTGTATTTTCTGGATGATGGCTTTCGTAGTTCTCCAGGTTTCCGCCACATACAGTAGAACTGTTTTGACATTTATATTGAAAATTCTGCCCTTCGTGTTGGTTGACAGTTGTTTTGAGTTCCAGATGTTCTTCAGTTGTAGATATGCTACTCTTGCTTTGCCGATCCACGACTTCACATCTACATCAGATCCATCGTGCTCATGAATGATCCTGCCCAGATATGTAAATGTTTTTACATCGTCCAAAGCTTCTCCGTCAAGTGTGATTTGATTGGTGCATGTTGCGTTGTATCGGAGAATCTTGCTTTTCCGTTTGTCACTCTTTTTGAGTGACATTTTGACCTTGTCAATTATTCGCTTATTAATCTTGATTTTTTATATGGACGTATGTGTGTGTATTGCTTATCCTACTTATCACATGTCTGTAGCTTATTTTTGTTTAACTATAAATGTTGAGTCGTTTGTCAAAACGAGTTGGTTTGTTGCTTTCTCTGTCTCATCGTTTTCCATTTTTCCAATGACAGTCTGCACTTCCATACTCGAATCTTATTAATTGATTCGACTCCTAATTCGTTTCTATATTCGCTCGCTTGTGCGCGTCAGCTTTTCTGCTCGAATTCTCTCGGCGTGTTTATAGCTTATTGATCTGTACTTTTCAATAATAAACTGGTTGGCGCCTTGTGCTGCCTTCTAAATTTATACACCGTTGGGATTTATTCAACGGTTATCAGGGTGCTTGATATACAAAGCCTAAGGAATTATTTCAATGCTAATCCACTGCAAAGTGTCTTTTTGCTAAAGGAAACTATAATACTGGATAGGGTTTCTATCGACTCAAGATTGTGCGCATATCGTTTTGCCTTAGTTTCCTAACCATGCCAATTCTCAATTTTTGTTTCGATTACTACTTCTTGGTCGTGTAATTAAGGTTTTCGCTTAGATTTCCCGATACTTTATCTTCTATATTTACCACTGGTTGATCGACTTTCTACATTTTTTGGAAAATGTTCTATTACGTGGGTTTTTCGTTCTGTTTCCATGCACATTACTCATACATTAATACACCGTAGCAATACATAATGATTTTTTGTTGGATTTAATAAATTTTCAAGCAGAGATTCAGCTTTCTGTAGGTCAACTGCGCCGAGTTAAGGGAGAAAAATTCTCATTCTTTGGTTGTCTGTTTGAAATATTCAGGAGCGGGGTATTTTTCTGAAAGTTAGTGTCACAAAGTAAATTAATCTAACAGGATTCTGTTTTCACAGAAGACATAAATCAAGTGATTTAGAAACCAAACCTTTTATATTAACACAATAAGTATTACAATAACTGTCATCTAAATGTCTAGGCTGATATGTTGACAAAGGTGTTGATTTTTGTCACAGGAACTGGCCAGAAGAGCTAATTAGCTTTATGTTTATATAAGTACGTAGGTACATATAGTCGATTCTTTTGTACAGTAACAACCGGTGCTGGAGAGTCGTCATCTGATGATCCTCCATTGTTTTCTGAAATGAATTAAAATTAATCGTGAGAGTATAAATAAATCTAAGATGATATATACAATAGGATAGATTGATGTGTTTCAAACCGGCTCGTAGTAATAATTTACTTCATGAACGGATGGTGTTAACCTAAACTGTATATTACAATCACTCAATATTAGATTAAGCTGCATATCCATCTCACAAGTGAGTGGCTATCTGGACTCAGCATCTAAAGAGATAACTTTTTGAGGGTTCGAAGCTAAAGATAATAGATTCCAGTACCAAAGTGAACATCATCTCTTGGGTTTAAGTATATCTGGCTGATGAATTCTAAGTAGGATGAAACACGCATCCTGGATCCCGTCGCTAGCCATATCCCATCTATTCTATGTGCTCATTAATATGGGATTTTTTGCTAGTTATAGACGTTCATGGTTTACGTGGTCTAAACTCTTAGTTTCAATCTTGCTCACTAGATAAACAAAGCCATAGCTCACTGTCTATTTACCGAGCTGAGTGCAATCAAATAGTATAATTAGTAAATATATAGTATGGTCAGCTACTAGTTAACTAACGGCTGTTCATTCTTTCAACGGATAGACCAATAAGTAAAAATATTACTAATACCTATGATTAGAAAAATAATCAACCTCAGCTTCCCCATTTTAGTCATTGGCATAGAATCGTGTCAACAATGGTTCTTTAAGTTTTCATTCTTTTTATTTTTGTTTGATCATAAGCGTAGTGTGTGGTCTTCAATTTGGTCAAGTACTCATTGCTGATTTGGGTTCATCAATCATGCCAAGTGAGTATAGTTTGATTTGTTACATTTTGAAAATCATGAGTTCTATTAACCAAATGACTTTGAACAACTAATATAAAAAATAATGTGATACTTTGAAAAATTTCATCAGCTGAAACAATTCAGTTAACATTACTACCGGTCATAACTATCTAAACCAATTTGTGTATTAACCTCGAATTATGGTTTACTTAAGTTATCTTAACATTAGTTGGAACCAATCTTAAGAAGATTTCTATTTGTGTACAAAGCAAAATCATAATAGTATAGATGCAGAACTTACTTTCTGGAGCACAATTTACTTCATCGAAAGACATATGTATGCAAAGACACAATAATATAGTAATCTGAAATGGAATTCGTCGTCAGTTGTGTGTACATAGTAGGACAAACTTTGAATATTTTCATTATCAGCGTAGAGTCCTCTTGCAATTCGCAAGTCACGAACATTTACCTCTATATATAGTTGTTTATACAGGTGTTTACACTGAATCTATATAGGATTGTTTGAATGAACGGATCAATAAACTGTCGAATATCACTACAATAATTGATTATTGTTTATAGTTATTTTGTTTACATTGAAGGGAAATAAATTTATCTGACAGTTCGGCTAATTAGATCAATCGAAATCCACAAAGTACTATGTACATTTGTGATTGATAAATCAATTTGAGCCACAAATGTTCTTCACAATAAAAGTAATTGTTTTGTTTATTTATTTTATAATCCATAATGAGCTGTTCAATAAACGAAAGGTTTTAACGTTAGTCGATAATTTGGTTTCCGGGACACATACTCCTTTGTTGATTGTCGCCTTGTTAGTTATTCTCATAAATGACTTCCGTTCAGTATATATTTATATTGCTTTTGAACACATGATACTTTCCGGCATTATTCCCTGTTACCCTTTGGAAAGCGGAAAGCTATCTAATTTGGTTATTAATAATGAAATGAGCTTACCCCATAAAAAAATAACAACGGTAAAAGGAGTAATTTGCATATATAGTATGTCGAGAGTTAAGTGTGTGAGTGTCTATTCGTGCTTATTGCTTGATTGTCCGACATTTAAAGCCGAATAATGCACTGGGGATCACTATACTGGTTGAAATTTAGCTGATCAATAGCGTGTGTCATATATAAACAGACGGGTGGTTCAGTACTCAAAGTATTCGGTTTCTAATCAACCCAAAGACTAAGCTTCACACCATCTACTTTGGTTTTTTCAACCGATTTGCACCACTACCGCAATGTGGCTAAAAGCCAAGCACATAAACACGTACTTGATATGTGAGTTTCATTCATTATCATTACTACATTCTTTGACATTTACGTGTTTACCAACTATCATTTTTCAAATGATTTCACGTTTGGTAAATCTTCAATGTTTAACTTGGAGATTATAGTTAACCACATTGTTATGATCTTACTTTTCAACAAGTTCTAGACTTTCGGATTTCGGTTCTAGGAATACATATATTCGCAATCTTTTACATTTATTTACTTATAGCACATAAATTGTGGTAAAATATGGAACCAGAAAGTGACATGATAAAATTATGAAGAAAAATAATAGGGAAGATGGATGTAACTTATCAATAGATAAGCAAGAATGCTATTTTATAAGATGAAACACTAGCTCAGTTAAAATCCAGTGAAGAAGTATTTCTTTCAGTTAGAATAGATTATCTCACTTTTATACAGAATGTAGTGATAAACTACTCCAGAATAGCTACGGCCTCTATTCTTAGCCGTATCTCATAGGATCTGAAGTCAGTGAATTATACTGTCGTTATGAACCCGACCACGAATTCTCTATGGACTATAATGTCAGAATGCTATACATCGATTTGTTTATACCATGGGATTATACCACCTGCTGTCTTTGTTTATGCTTTTTTTCCTCCAAGCCATCTTTGGCAAATTATGTTCGATGTGGAATCCGTTGGGTTGATATTTGTATAACATGTCCAAGAAAGTCACATTAAAATAATGTATTCAAGGAAGTCGATAAACTTTCAAATGAATATCATTAAATTATATTTATGATTTTTTTAAAACTCTTTAAACTACTCTGTCTTTACTTTTGAACACGCTTTCAGTGATCTGAGGCCGATTTTACTTTAATAACCTATCTATCTAATGGATTGAAACTGATCATAAATAAAACCGTTATTATTATTGATCTCATCTTGATAACAGTCATTAATCTCTTTTCTCAATCTATATAACAGTTTCCTATTCTCTCCATTTGTTTAATATTCTTCCGTCATTGAATATTTAACAAGAAATAATTTATATTTTTGTCTACAACTAAAAAGTTTTTTCTCTATTTGTTATCTCTTTTTGTAATAATATCTGAATTGTTATTTTAAACGTTTTAAAAACTACGCCATAGAATTTAAGGTCATAAGTAATATGTGAATATTGGGAATAAATAATTTATGTTCAACAGTTAATGTAGTAATAATTATCAGTAGGATTTAAACTAAAGATTATCATAAATAACTCCTAATAGAAATTCAGAACAGAATAACTTATTTTTTTCTTTTACACCTCATCTATTCCTGTCTATTCGCCAAATAAAATAATAAATCAGAACAATAATTATAAGTAAACAGTATTGTTTTCTATTAAATCTGCATCAAATTTCACTCTAATTTACAATTATATATATATGAAAATTACTCAATCAATAAAGATAATTTTTGAGTCTTTGATAACAGTGAAATGGATTACGTGACCAAACATTGGTAAGTGTCAAGTACATATTGATATTTAGCTAAATTTTGCTGGTAACAAAAAGATTTGATACACTATAACATATTGATTAGTATCTATATTGGTGATTTATTGATGATATTAGAACATAACAATGAAATAGGCAGCATACAATTAATAACTAATCGACAATCAATTGAATTAAATTAAAAAATTAAAATGTGATGATACTAGTAGAGAAAATATGTTGCAACATAAGAATAATGTACAGAAGTAAATCTGATGAGTTAGTATTGTTTTAAAACACAGATATTTGAATGAAGAATATTCTTTTCAATTAATTCTCTTCAAATTCTACAACTATATATCCAAATTAATAGCCCAAAAATATATGGTCAGATTTAAGACAAAATACATCGTGTAAAAATTATAACATGTGAATTAAAGAATGTAAAATTAAATAAAATCAATAATTTCACTGGTTGAAATTATGAGTCCATTGAAGCTAGACCACCATGGAAAACCTGGAAGCACTGGATGGCCGTTTCGTCCCAGTATGAGACTCCTCAGCAGTGCGCACTGCTGAAAAGTCCCACAATAGGATGGTCTAACTTCAATGGACTCGTGATTTCAACCAGTGAAATTTCTCAAAATCTCCACAAAACCCATTCTGATAATGAAAATCAATAATGTTAAGATGACCAATATGAAATGTTGACTTGATTAAGTTTTTATGTTAAATAAAATTAATTAGTTGTTTATAAACTGATTGTTATAAACATATAACTCCGATATTTGTTTATAATAATCTGAATAATTCTTAATTCTTTTGTTTTAATGATTTACAGTTTGTTATGGTGAAATAAGTTGAAATACTACTTAAATTTAACAAAGTAGTAATTTCTGGATATGCCGAAAATGTAGACAATTACCTATGAATAAAATAATGCTCGATAAGCGAGAAAATTAATGTAAACATTTGCGAAGTGATTGTATTAAAGAAGCTGAAAAGTGTTGAAGAAAGCATTTATACCAGTGGATCATATACGAAATAAATACTCTAAGATTGAATTTCACACTATAGAATCTAATTAGTTGAGCTTTAACATCAATTAGAACTGAAATCAGATTATTTCCATGCAGTACAGTTGAAATAAGAAAACTATTTCTACTTTAACAGATAAATCACTGAGGTATTCTGTTTACTTACATCATTTCAGAATAAATAACTTCAAAAAAAGGTGATGAATATTTTTATAAAATCAAGATTCTAATATAAATCTTATTCTTAAAAAGTACTCTTAAACTATTTTAAATTATTTAATCACAAGTGTTTATTGAAATTGGACGGTGGCTAGTAGTCGAACTATAAACCCGAAGTTTGGACTATTTTAGTAGATTTGATTAATTTCATAATAAAGAATGACAAAACTTAAAATTTTCCCTTCAGTAACTTAATTACGAATTAAACAGCGATGTAGTGAAAATCGGATTGTTTAGAAATCGCATTTATTTACGTTATGATTGTAAAATAAAGTTTGATATATATATATATATATATATATATATATATATATATATATATATATATATATATATATATATATATATATATATTTAAAGGTCCCATTGTGCCATTTAAATCTGGTCTCAACTTTAGTGTATGTATGTAACAGAACATTTATTTTTACCGATCCCGGTATTATGAGAAACAAATACAAATCATTTTTTGAAATATTATAATAGAGCGATAGGATTTCTAAACCTGATGCCATAGTTTCATTTAAAGAAAGAAGGAAAAACATGAAAATCGATATAAGAATTTAGGAAATTAAAATGAGTTTTTTCAGTAGTAAACCAATCCAGTTGCTTATTTAACTAGTTTATAATGGATCAATAAATTGATTAAGGGTATATATTTATTGATCAAAGCTAATAAAGTAAGAAATAAATGGGGAGCTTTTAATAAGATTTTCAATAAAGATTTTGTTAGATGATGAAAAGTTAATACTGATTTAAAATCCGTGCATAATTTTGTAAATTACTTTTCTTATTATACATCCACCAGGTGATCAGTGCTTATGGAAGAATGTACTTATCCACTTCTTATTTCCTGTAACTGCTATAACTTTGTAAAATATTTATATCAGTTCACAATTTCCTTTTATTAATAAACTATTAATTAAGCAATTAATTTTTTATACTTTAATCCACCTGATTAGGTAAGCACTTGTCATCATAACAACAATAAGTTACTTAGTCATTTAGAACGTAGGACCAGGTACATATATGCATTGGTTCAAGTTTCCGTACCTCATTAGCATAGCGAGATGAACACCAAATTCATAGAAGCAGTTACTTCAATGGCGGTACTGCATAGAAAAAAGGTTGCACATAAGGGTATGATACAGGGAAAAAGAATTAGTTAGTAGAAGGAAAAGTATAAAGTAATTGTAATCTCATGGTTTAAGGGAAAACAAAGAGTGTGTACACCTACTCCATTGTGACCGATTCTGAGCCATGTCACCAAGAGTCTACAACCATTGGTTACGATAGTCATGCGGACTCCAACCAAGTAGTCTGCATCTACCTACATGGCTCAGACTAGAAGTTAATGACTTCAAGCACTGATGCCACGTTTTGGTTTGGCCGCCCCCAATTTTCTTCCAACCATCTCTAACACCCGTTAGCATTGCACGTCGTGGTAATCGGTGTTCGGGCATACGTAACACGTGGCCCAACCATCTCAGTCGATGAAGATTCACAACCTCATCAACTGATTTACCATCATTCCCTAATACCCTGCGTCGAACCTCACTATTACTTATCCGGTGATCCCAGCAGATGCGAGCAATATTTCTAAGGCATCTGTGTTCAAATACTAGTAGCTTACGAGTGTCTTCTACTCTTATAGGCCATGTTTCGCTGCCGTAGATTAAAACAGAACGGACTGCCGCGCAGTATACTCGTCCTTTTATTGATAGACGGATATCTCGCCTTCACCATAGGTGACGTAAGTTGGCAAAAGCCAAACGAGCTTTTTGAATCCGTGCTGAGATTTCGTCAGACCCCAACCCATTAGGGCTGACCAGACTTCCAAGATAAGTGAAGTTGTCAACGCGTTCGACTACTTCACTCCCTATCCTTAGTTCAGGTGTTGACGCAGACCAGTCCTGAAGCAACAACTTGCATTTAGAGGGAGAGAAGCGCATTCCAAACATTCTGGCATTGTTGCTTAGTGCTACCAAAAGACTCTGCATTTTATCGGCATCTTCATCAAACAGGACTATGTCATCTGGGTATTCTAAGCCGATAAGTGGATCTCCTGGTAGGAGATGAGTTCATAAAAATTCAGTCGGCGAGAATGTTACTTCCATCAGTATGTCTATGATGAAACTGAACAACAATGGAGATAGTGGACAGCCTTGCCGGACACCACATGAGGTTGAAAAGTCAGATGACAGTTCGCCACAAGCTCTAATTCAACTGGAAATGTTTGAGTAGTGAGCCTTCGTAAGGTTCATATATTTTGAGGTACACATTTCAACGGCAGACACTGCCATATTATCACTCGGTCTACAGAGTCAAATGCTGCTTTTAAGTTGAGAAAGACCACCATTGTCGGATGCTGATAAGTATGTCTGTGTTCTAAGATCTAACGAATGGTAAATATGTGAGCTATGCA